CCGGCCCCGGCCGGCTGATGACGGGCGGCGCGGCCGTGGGCGCCGGCCTCGCCGCTCCGGGCGGCCTCCGCGAGCAGAGGGGCCTGGAGATCGAGATGGAGCGTATCCGGCAGGCGGCCGCGCGGGACCCCCCGGCCGGAGCCTCGGCCTCTCCCTCCCCGCCGCTCTCGTCGTGCTCGCGGCAGGCATGGAGCCGTGACAACCCGGGCTTCGAGGCCGAGGAGGAGGAGGAGGAAGAGGAGGTGGAAGGCGAGGAAGGAGGAATGGTGGTGGAGATGGACGTGGAGTGGCGCCCGGGCAGCCGGAGGTCCGCCGCCTCCTCGTCCGTGAGCTCCGTGGGCGCCCGGGGCCGGGGGCTGGGGGGCTACCACGGCACCGGCCACCCAAGCGGGAGGCGGCGCCGGAGAGAGGACCAGGGCCCGCCGAGCCCCAGCCCGGCCGGCGGCGGGGACCCGCTTCATCGCCACCTCCCCCTGGACGGGCAGCCGCCGCGAGTGGCCTGGGCCGAGAGGCTGGTTCGCGGGCTGCGAGGTAAGAGCGCGACCTGCAGCGGCTGATGCACAAACCAGCTGCGGGCGGCTTTCCGGGGCTCCACCTCGCATCCCTCCTGTGTCCCCGCCTCCCTTGCAGGCGCGTACCCCACCTCTGCTACTTGTGCCCTACTTCCGGTACCCATGGCGGACCACCACTGCGCCCTTGTAGGTGCAAATTTATGGGATACCTCCTTCTTCTAAAAGAAGAAGGTGTGTCAGCACATTTTTACCGCTGGATCTACGTGAAAGCCGTAATAGAATGAAAGGGTACCTCTGGAGATTTTTCTTCTTGGAGAGAATGAAAAAACATTCTAATACAACTGACTGTGGTTGCAACTGCATATCTGGGGCTTCCACTGGTCTGGATGCCCTATTGCCCCTCATTCCATTCTGGAAAGGGTTAACAGTAGTGTTATCCAAGTTATGGGAGGAGTGTCACTGAGTTGTCACTGATGTTTTGGTGATGTGTGTGGTTGTTTTGGGGAGAGCGAGCTGTTGAGATCACCACAAACAGAATAAAATAATGTCTGAGAAAAACAGTTGTGCAGCCACTTCTAATCTAGGCATTTTTCTGAAATAGTTGCAAAGAACAAGTTACATTGTCTAAAAAACTTGGTAGTATGTTTCTAAATAATTAAATCAATGTTCTTTGACGTTCCAACAAATCAGTGGAGTCACCAGATACCAGCAACGTGTAAATGTGTCAGAGTTCGGTGCGCCCAACTTTCCAAAAGGCAGGAAAGGAATTTTCAGATTTGCCAGTGTCTATTTAGAGGACACAGATTTTCCAGAAGCAGATAGGATCCTGTTTTTGCAAAGTTTTGTCAGAGGCATCCTTGGAAAAGTGTTGCATTTGCTCTCACCGTTCAAATTATTTTAATCTCCACTTTTAAGAGTTTCCATGCTCAGTTCTTTTGAAAGTTTCCCTTCCCCTCTCTTCCCTGTCAGTTTTGAAAATCTTGCACAAAATAACCCAGGTGTTTTTACAGCAATGTGATTGAGACCAAGTCAGTCCTTTACCCATATCCTAGTTCCACCACACATTGACCCTGTGACCTTGAGCAAACTGCTTATCCTCTCTGATCCCCAATTTTTGTTTTTCTTAAGAGATCATTATAATACTTAGTTCTTGAGTGGGGAGAATTAAATGAGATGAAACTTGTAAAATGCATAGCATGTCTCTGTCATGTTGTGAGTGCTTCATAAATATAAGTTAAATCGTAAATGTTTAATTGTGTACACTTGGGTACTTTCATGTAGGTGCTTATGCTAGGTAATCTGACTCATGGTGTGACAGGGAACAAAAGATCCTTTTTGAACAACCTATGTGAGTTAGGAAAAAGCCCTAACACTTTTTAAGGTTCAAAACTGTATCCAAACAAATTATATATTACTTTACCTTCTTTTAAATGTGCATATTCACTGATGTGAGAGAAGTTTTTTATAAGCTAATGAATAATAAGTCATGATCCTTTTAACTAAGGTTAAGCGTCTGATAACACATTTAACCTTCTTTGAATAAACTAGATAAAAGAATATAATGAAGTGAAATATGTATCTTTGTATGAGTTTTTGTACAAGTTTATTTCTTCAAAAATTTTTAAATTTTTTAAATTTAAAGAAATTAAAAAGAAAATTGACAATGTATAAGCTCATAGTGAACTTCTGGTCAATGGTCTAATTAGTAGGGGAAGAGACTCAGGAAAATGTTAATTTTAGAAAATTTTAGAATAAATTTTATTTTCTTAAATGTTAAATATATTAAAAATTAAACATATACTTGTCACTTATTAAATAAGTGACATTTGTTGAATAATTAGCGCTGCATTAGGTGCCTCCCTTCCCCCTCCCCCCTCCCCTCACACACACAAAAGAACTAAACCAGCACCAGCACCATTTTCTTATGGACAGAAACCAAGAAAAGTAAACTAAATACCATGAATGAGTTGTGATTTTTTTTTCCCCCTCATGGATACCAATGACAAAAACCTCACATGCAATATGTAAGTAGTACCCTAGGGTCAAAGGCAGAAAGTAACTTGCAATTTATAAAGGTAGGAGAGATTACTCAAGCTTGGAGTGGTCTAGAGGTTCCCTGGGGGTCTCCTGCCTTTGTGGTTTTATACACTCACTCAGATTTTCTGGGCCTCAGTTCTGATTTATAAAATGGAAGAGTTGAACTTAATCTCCAAAGTCTTTTCCAGCTTCAACATACTCTGTGTTGTTCTTTAATGACATGAAGCCAATATGGACAACAAATGGTCATTTTTGCTCTTTGTACAGTAGACAGATCTACTTAGCAGAAGTAGGATAGTAAAGAAGAAATGTTTGAGGCCTGGTTGTGGGACACCTTGTGTCCAGCCAAGGAATTGAGAATTTATTCCTAAATATTAGGAAGTGGTTGCAAGTTTTTAACAGGACCAGAACATGCAGAAAGGGGATATCAGGGGGTGTGCTGTGCAGGAGATCTTGCACAGGGAGACAGAGAGACCATGTAGGAGGGCCATGTAGGAGGCAGCCAGTGAAGAAGTGGTAAAGATCTGGACCAAAGGCAGTGAAAGATGGCTGAAAGATTTAAAGACTGCCCCCAAACTTAAAGACACCCTCACTGGTCTTGCTTACTTTTTTTTTTTTTTCCTTCAAAATCTTTAGAGCAAAAATAAAATCTGATACTTTACATGAGTTATCAAATTTTCTGAATTTCCAGAGTTGAATGTGTTCTATGGATGTATCAACCTGGTAAAGTCATTTCCTGTTTGTTATTTTAAACACCTATGCTTGGGGTTTGGGGTTTTTGTTTTCCTAGAGAAATCCTAAAGTACTGATTGTATTGGTCAGGGTAGGCTAAGCTACTATAAGAAATAGATACCTCCTCTCCCATTCACTATGTTGTATGATCACTGTCCATTTCCAGAACTTTTTCATCATTTCAAACAGAAACTCTACCAATTACCACATTCCCCTGCTCCTGGTGACCTCTATTCTACTTTCTGTCTCTGAATTTTTCTAATGTAGGTACATCATATTAGTGGAATCATATAATATTTGTCCTTTAGTGCCTGACTTATTTCACTTAGCGTAATGTTTTCAGGATTTATCCATATTGTAGCATGTATCCACATTTCATTCCCTTTGATAAATGAATAATATTCCATTGTATGTATACAACACATTTGTTTATCCATTCGTTAGTTGATGAACACATGGGTTGTTTCCACCTTTCAGCTATTGTGACTTTCCCTTTGTTTTTAATCTAAACCTCACTCTATCACTTCTTCCTTTTATTATTTGCACTATAATTTTGAACAAATGAGATTTTGTATTTCCATAGCTGTGGAGAATTTTTTGAGGGAGGGTTGCTACTGTGGGGTTTGTGGAAAGGTTATGCTAGTAACAGAATTTGGGCAATCAACAAACATTTGATGAGAGTCTCCTTTGTAGTGGGTACTAGGAATACAAAGGTGAATTATCATTCACCCAACTCTCAAAGAGCTCAGTTTAGTAGGAGAAACAGATGTAAGTAAATAATTGCAATGCCAGGTGTCAGGTTTGGAAGGGACCCAATGAAGAGAGGGCCAGCTTTACCTGGAGAGGTCAGAGGAAGTGAAACTTGAGTTAACATTTTGAAGGATGAGGGGAGAATTTAAGGAGGGAAAAAATAGCAGAAGTAAGACCAAGCAAGCCTGTAGCTTCTTGGTATTTTTCCCTCTAAAAAGTTAGAGCTCTTGAGGGCTTTACATGTCAATCTGAAGATGATTCTAGCAAGAATGTAGAGAATGGGGTGAGGCGCATAGTACTGGTTGGTGGGAGAATAGGTCAGGAGAGGCTTAAGCAAGAGACAGAGGGGTGAAAAGGCTGCATCCAAGGCATGTGAACTGGGATAGAGGGAAGCTGGCCTGGAGACAGACAGAAGCCATCAGAATTGTGGACCAATTCCATATGAGGGTTAAGAAAAGGGCCTGTTTTAGGATGAAACCTATGTTTCTGGCTTGATACCATTAACTCAAACAGGGCAAGTAGGTTTCTAGACAAAGAAAAATCTCAGTGCATGGGGCATATGAGTATGAACTATCTGTGGGATATATGGTGGAGCTGGCTGTTATCTGTGGTATCTGCTTGTCTGGACCTCAGGAGAAGGCTAAGAATTCAAGATTCAGGAGTCAGTATCATATAAGGTAGCAACTGAATCTTCTATATTAAATGGCCCAATAGTAGTAAAAAGTCTCTTCCTTTTTTTAAAAATATTTTATTCTTTTTTTTAATGTTTATTTATTTATTGAGAGAGAGGGAGAGGGTAAACACAAGTGGGGGAGGGGGAGAGAGAGAGAGAGAGAGAGAGAGAGAGAGAGAGAGAGAGAATCCTAAGTAGGCTCCACGCTGTCAACATAGAATACAACATGGAGCTCGAACTCACCAAACATGAGATCATGACCTAAGCCAAAATCAAGAGTCAGATGCTTAACTGACTGAGCCACTTAGGCACCCATCACTTCCCATTTTAAAGGTGGCCACGAAATTCAAGTAACTATTAGGAAGGATTGTGTCTGTCTTCCTAAACAAAGCCCACAAGTATCTAAGCACAAAAGAACAGGATTCTTTTATGATATAAATGCAGTGAGAATTTGGTCAGGCTATTCACGGTGAAATCCAAATTCATATGGATTTGGGCATTTACACTGTTCTGAAATTTAGACCAACTAGATGTCAGAAGTAGGACATTTTTTTCAGATTTGCACCTGTTTCTGGAGCTGTAGACAGGCCTCTTCCAAGCACTTTATGTGCTTTACACATAATATTGTAATTCCCAGAGCAACCCCACAAAGAGGTAGTCTTACCCCATTTTCAGATGAGGAAATGGAGCCTCATGATGTTAGATAAGATCTCACAGTTCTGAGCCCTCATTTGAACACAGCCGACTCCAAAATTCCACATTATTCCTCATTATTCCTCATTGTCATGATCAATGAGTCATGAGCATTCAGTGTATTTCAGATGGGACGGGGTTAGTGTAAGGCAAATGATCCACACTGAGTCCTATAACCATAGAACTGAAATATTCAGGATGAAATGATATGATAGCTGGAATTAGTTTCAAAATTCAGAGGCATGGGTGAGGGTTTAGATGAGTCAAAGTTGGCATTGAGTTGATAACTGTTGAAGCTGAGTCAGAGATACATAAGAATATGAGGAGTTCATTATGTCATTCTTTGTGATTTTTTTTTTTTATATATTGCAAAATAAAAAGGTTTTGGAAGTATGTGAATAAGACAGTTGCAACAATGACATTTTTTTCACAGTTACTTATGTTTGAGACACCTTTGGTGTTTTGGATTCTCCATCTCAGAGTTCCCCTATATTCATATCAGTGCCACTGCCCAGGGGAATATACACTGTTTAGATAAAGTGCTCCAATTTTGGGCTCTGAAATTGAATAAGTGCCTTCTTAAACATGAGAGAAGTTGGATATTGTCTGATTGTCCCCCTCACAGCATGTTCTCCCTAACAGCTGGAGACACTTTATGTACTGAGCGTGAGTACCTAAAATGCCAGGCAGGTACTCCCTCTGTAGCTGGGCCAATTGTGGGAAAAGACAACAGCTGATTCTGAAGAATGCTGCCATTTGGGACATGAGCTCTGTCTTTATTCTTATTTTATCAGCTGTGCTAAACATGGAAGTAGTTGGCTACAAGACAGCAATTATTTTCTATTTGTGGATGTAGCCATTTCTCACCCATCAGAATATAAACAGATCCCTGTGTCCTCAGACAGACCCTATTACACACCCAGTGGGGGAATTGGATGAAATTTTTAAAGCAATAAGCATTTGAGGAAGTAGACTAACTTAGAAAAAGTCAATGAAATGCATAAAGTATATTAAAATATAAATAAGGGGACTTTGTTTCTTTTTATTTGAAATATTTCATTTGAGGGCTAGAATTAAATTGCGATAGGCCCTTGCAAGTTTAGCTTGAATAAAATTTGATGGGAGTTTGGTTTTTCTATTTATAGGTCGCAATACCATTTGTAAATATTAATAACTGTGACTATTCCTTAGTGCATAATTGTTTATAAACCATGGGAAAGAGTGAAATCACTGACCAAGTGAGGCAAGACAACAATCTTTCCTGATGATAAAGAGACTAGTAATCCCTACTTATGTGTATACTTTAGGTCTGGCCTCCAAAAGAAATATAACCAAAGAAAGAGTGTGATTGCATCCAGGGCTACTGAGCCTAATATTTGGCTGCCTCTGTGTTATTCTGAGTTGTAATTTTCCATGTCATCCAAATTTGTAATAATTTTTAAATATGATAGAGTTTGAGCGAACAAACATTCTGCTTGCTGCATTTCTTCTGAGTGAGTAATTCCCTGACAACTACCAGATCTTGGCAGAAGCAAACCTGGTCATAAGTCATGCTCCACTTTCCGTGTGTTGAAACCTGTGATGCGTAACACAGTGTCTTTGAATTCCGATGTTGATTTTCCTAAAGGAAATTTGAGAGAAAAAAGAAAAGGAAATGAAATATCCAAATTTAGGAGTAAAATTAATGTATTATTCTAAGGCTTAAAAAATACATAAACACTAGTGATGAAGTCATTTTTATGAAGTAAAAGCCTGGATACCGTTTCTCCGTGTTCTCTGTGTGGTGTCATGGTGGCTCCAGTGGCTGTGTGAGTTTCAGTGACTGAAGGGGTTCAACTCTGTGGAATAGGAGTGTGAGGCAGAATGCAGGGGCCAGGTTGGCTGCCATTCATAGCCGACCTAATCTAACTGAGAGGATTGAGAAGTTTGTCTTTTTTGGAAAATACTAAGTCTCTTCCAAGTAACCAGAAATGTGACTTTACCGCACTGTTCATTAATGGGGGTTTTGGATGGCCACCATGTCTGTCTGCTGGCTGAGTCCAAAACTGCGGTAACTGCCTCCAGCAAGCTCACGGAGGGTTATGTCATCCCACTTAGCCAGCCGAACACTTTTTCCGTCTGCTAAAATGTGGAACATGGTTGCTGATTTTACTCTTTCTCCAAAGAGAGAGAGAGAAAAGTTGGATGATTGTTGCTTTTAATTTAAAGATGATATGTTAATTAGCATTTTAAAAATCTGTTAAGCTTAGCATGTTTAGTGTAGTCAGTCAGCATTGAGTTTCTTAAAGGACAAAGATGGGTACAGAGTAGAGAGATTTTATGCCAGCGTGCTAGAAGTTTAATGGATATTCCCCTAGTGAAATGATGGTCCAACCAGCCCTTCTTTTCATCAGGGTGACCTGAAAGATATCATGTGCCATGTAGTTACATCATGTACTAATGGTTCAGTAATAGGATAATTGCCAGGTTGCGTCCTCCCCCAACACAGGAAGAGGTGATGTGTTTGCACAAGTATTTAATCTGCTCTTCTAGGCTGCCCTCATTTCCTGTTCTCTTCCTAAATTTTTATTAAGCCATTTTCTAATAGGATTGGGAGTTTAGACAATGATCAGATTGTCACCTTGTGATTTGCATATTTGGGGGGACAGTAGAGGTTGATATATTCTAAAGTAAAAGGCACTCCTGCTAAACAATTTCCCAGTTACATTCAGAGCATGTCAAAAAAAAGTGCAGGAGAATCTCCCTTAAAGGTTATGCTATTTATTTTATATGTTTTCTCTGCCATTCGTTATTTGAAAAATAAAATGTCATATTTTTCATTATTTTAAAGGTCTCTGGGGAACAAGACTCATGGAAGAAAGCAATACTAACCGTGAGAAGTATCTTAAAAGTGTTTTACGGGAACTGGCCACATACCTCCTTTTTCTCATAGTCTTATGCATTTGTAAGTAGAACATTTCCTCCTACTAAAAGAAAAGTTTTGAAAATATTTGACCTGTCAAAACTATAATTGAAGGGAATTGTGTATGCATCAGAGGGGTTAATTCAGAAGTTCTCTGTTTTCAATTTCAGTTTAGAATTTAGTAAAGCCCTCCTCTCTCCTCTGGTAAACATTAATTAAAATTCAGCATTATCTGATTGGCCAGTTCATTGCCAGTTATGACCATTTTCACTATGACACGCATCTCGCAAACTGCCAGACACCAAGAAACCAAGTAAAAGGATTTTTGCATTAGATTTCCTGGTAAATACACAGTCACTATTTTTACATCAATTAATGTAAAGTCTACATAAGAATTATTTTTAACAAAACGGCTTTCCAAGTGTAACTTTCAGGAAATACAAATAATGTCACCTAATATTGCTTTTATGGATATACATATACATATTTAAAAGTCCCAGTCTTTTGGATTTTGATGTGTTTGTTGTGTGGGTTCCTTCATTTAGTTCTTAATACCTTCCAAATCTTCAATGAGCACTGGACCTGTACTCTAAGGAAACTTACTGCAGACTCACCTCTTTCTTCTTCTCTTCTTTCATATGTCCATGCGTCCTTGGGGAAAGGAGGGGAGTCCAGACTTAGCCAGAAACAAGTCTTAGAAACCATTTGCTTCAGAGTCCAGAAGGTCATAGACAATGGGTTTTATCTTCTCAATCAAAGAGCACTGAATGATGGGAGTCCTGTCCTGTTCTCTCGAAAGCCCTTTATGAGAACAGACAAGGAAGCAGATTTATGGCAACCGGGACCTCTTACCATACTCCTGGGAAAGGAGTTCATTCTTACCGTGCACACTTAGAAATGCTGAAAAATTAACGCCAATCTTGAAAGGACTCCCCTTCTTTGTATATGGAAAAAATCAAAATTAATCAACAGTTTGATAATGCCATTCCTAGTACATTAAAATTGACCACCTTGAATTCAGTTGACTAAGTGCAAAAAGCTTTTTGAATTTATCAGATTTATAAAAAGAATAAAAAGGGTTTCTAAGTTGAACATAAAGGATTGAGGAAACATTTAAGTTTCAGTTGTAATTTTAACAAATTGAATACTGATTGGGGCGCCTGAGTGGCTCAGTCGGTTGAGCGTCCGACTTCGGCTCAGGTCATGATCTCGCAGTTTATGAGTTTGAGCCCCACATCAGGCTCTGTGCTGACAGCTCAGAGCCTGGAGCCTGCTTTGGATTCTGTGTCTCCCTCTCTCTGCCCCTTTCCCACTCATGCTGTGTCTCTCTCTGTGTCTCAGAAAATGAATAAACATTAAAAAAATAAAAAAAAAAAGAAATTGAATACTGATTTATTTACTATTCCCACACACAGTTTTTATTAATGCTAGTCAGCTCTTGACGAGCTTTAACAGGGAATGACTTCTTTTTATATTTTCTGAGACTTTGCATTTCCAAGTGGGAACTTAAGCAAAAAAGAAGTTTTTTAAGCTACAAAGTTTGTATGTGTCAACAACATCCATCTTCTTGGTTTTTTTCTGTTACTTGTTTAGAAAGGAAATGTCATTAATTATTTTTTATTTTTATTTTTTAAGTTTATTTATTTTGAGAGAGAGGGAGAGAGAGAGAGAGGAGAGAGAGAAAACACGAGTGGGGGAGGGGCAGAGGGCGAGAATCCCAAGCAGGCTCCATGCTGCCAGTGCCAGAGCCCGACTCAGGGCTTGAACTCAAAAACAGCGAGATCATAACCTGAACTGAAATCAAGAGTTGGACACTTAACTGACTGAGACACTCAGGCACCCCTGTCATTACTTTTTAAAACATTCTATCTACGATAGAAATGCTGAAAAGCCTGAAGAGATCTATTCATTACAATAAAAGTTGTAAAGGCAGAGATGTGGTATCTTTAACTTTTATGTTCTAAGCTGTTAGAGCTTAGAATATTGAAGGAGATTTTGCTCCCTGCATAGGAGCTTAAATATTAAGCTACAGTGGCCTTAAATATTAACAGGTTGATTAGGATCATTGTTAAGTTTTTTTAAGTGTGACATAGACACATACATACATATATGTCTTATGCAAAATGTAAGTATCCCTATAAGTAAGTCTAGGTTTTCTATGCCCACCCCCCGCCCCCATACCAACTGCTTGAGCATCAGAATCACCAAGAGAATTTTTTTTTAAATTGCCATTTGCCCAGATCTGCTAAATCAGAGCCTTCTAGATGTGCCCCAGAGAAGTGAGTTTTCAGATGCACTGACAAGTTTGGGATCTAGGCCAGATAAATAAACCAAATAGCTAGAGTTTTAGGAAACATGCCTTAAGGCATATAATTAGGGTTCTCTTGTTTATTGTAGAATTTTTAAAGCTTTTTGTTCTTTTTCACACTAATCACATTTTTTTCTTATACCAGTAGCTACATATTTTACATAGGCAAAGTTTTATTTTCAGAATATTGTAGAATCTCTGGTTAAGAAGGGATCTTAGCAACCACATGATCAAACCTCCACTGAATGCTAAAATTGCACTCCAGTGTTCCTCTCAAGTGGTCAGGCATCCTATGTCTGATTGAGTAACAGTTTCAAGTTAAGGGACTTACTTCTTTTAAATAATTCATTTCATTTTTCTATGGCTATGTTAGAATGTTCTTCCTTATATGAAGCCAGGTCTACCCCTGTCTAACTTCCTCTCTTAGTGCCCCCTCCAAGCCCACCTTTACCAAGTACCTTTACCAAGTTCTCCAATTTAGCCTATCAGAAGTTTGGAGACAGCCATTCAAGTCTCCCTTAAGTCGCCTCTAGGTTAAACCTTTTCAGTTCCTTTAACTGTTAATCATGTCATTGGCGATATGCCTTTGAGTACCCACATGATAGAAATTCCCCCTGCACATGTTCTGTTTATCAGGTCCCTTTGAAAGTACAATAGCTCCTGCCTGGGTGGCTCAGTCCATTAAGCATCCAACTCAGCTCAGGTCATGATCTCACAGTTTTGTGAGTTCTAGCCCCGTGTCAGGCTCTGCACAGCTCCGAACCTACTTGGGATTCTCTCTCCTTCTCTCTCTGCCCCTTCCCCACTTGCACTGTCTCTGTCTCTCTCAAATAAATAAACTTTAAAAGAAAGAAAGTATAGTAGGAACCTCATGATGAAAGAATGGAAAAAGTGGGACTATGAGTGTCCTTATTCAGATACAAAGCTGTGGCTCCTGCACCCTCCCATCACCTGACCCTTCACGTAAATGATTCCTCAGTTTCTTCCCCCCAAACTATAAATCACTGTGTCCCCCAGCTAGTATTTGAACACTTCTTCCTGGAACATAGTCCTGAAAGGACTTCCCTTTCAGCTCTGTTAAATTCCATCTTATTAGCACCTGCTTATCATTCCAATCTGTTGAAATTATCTTGGATCTGGAGTCATTCATGTCAGTATCAGCTGTTCCTCTTGGCTTCACTGGATCAATAGAGTTGATATCATCCATGTTCTTATCCTGATTAATTAATAATAAATCAAAAAAAGTTTGGTCTAAGAGCATCATCCATTAGTGAAAGCTCTTTGAGTGGAGTTCACTGAATTATATTATCATCTAGGTCAGAATGTTCAAGAAATAGGTTAATAAGAAAGACTTTTTCTTATTAATGCCCGTCTGAATAACTCCATCATTCTTCTGCTATCAGCTGTTGGCCGAATCAAAAAGGAAATGAGATAAGTAGACATGATTTATTCCTAGCAATGCCTTACTGGCTCCTAGTGATTGAACCCTTTCCCCATTGCTCAGAAACCATCTCTTTAATTACTAGTTTTAAAATCTTGCCAACAGTATCAATATCAGATGGCCAATAATATCAAACTCATTACTTTGTGGGTATATGAGAGAATGTACTTAGCCCTATGCCTTGCACATGGGAAGCTCTTGATATGAAATAGATAGGGATCTGGAAGGCAGTTTGACACAGTAGGAAAAGTATAGATTTTTTTTTTTTGCATCAACAGAGGTCTGAGTTCAAATTCCAGCTCCACTACTTATATAGTAGGTAAGCTTGAACTAAGTTATTTAACCTTCCTGTATCTGTGAAATACTTATTTTGAAAGATTTTGTGCAGGTTGGGAATAATACACCAAAAGATCCTAGGTACTGTCATGTGAGAATAGTAAAAGCAAAATTCTTCCCAGAGATCGTTGACCGCAGCCGAACTCTTTCATCAGTAGGTTCTAAGAAGTATAGGTTCTAATTGTTTGAGCATTTGAGCCTAAGTGTCCCTCAAAGCTTATCTTCCATTTTATCAGTGTTAGTTCTAAGCCCTTGTATCTTTAAAATCAGTCTGCATAAACCCAGAGGAGAGAAATAACATGGGGACTAGGTAATCCTATTTTCTCTGTAATTTAGAATTTATTCTTACTTGAAACCTAAGGTTGCTATGAATCTACCATCAAAATATTTATTTTTATATGGGTTACTGTTATAAATAGTAAGAGTATTTCTTTGTGTGACTTAGATGCTAAAGTTAAGGAAAGGAATAAATATTATTAAAGATCTTTGGAAACGGCAAAAAAAAGTCTTTGGTGAATCTGTGATAAAAATACATTTGCCTCTTCTTTTTTTCTGCTCCCTCCAGTCTTTAAAGTTTCTCAAATTTCCTATGTTTAGACATTATAATGGAAATCATAAAGAAAAGTTAGTTGAGTTAGCATCATAGAAATGTAGTTTTTGTACATGTCACAGAAATAGATAAGATTAAAAGGCAGAAAACAATTGTAAAGAATATTTACAAGAAATATTACAAAGGGTTAATACCTTACCACATTTGTAACCCACAAGTCACTGAGAAAAACACCAAGGCCTCAGTAAATATTTTACAGAGTAGAAAATAGAACATATTTCATAGAGTAGAAAATGTAATCAGTTATTGTGAGAAAGTCTTTAACTTTAAACTCACTAGTGTCCAAAGAAGTAATGAAATTGGAGAAATGAACAACATTGTCCTAAAATAGCATGATGTATCCTAGG